ACAACCTATTTAGGAGTTTAGTCCTGGAGAAGACTCATTCTCCCTTACTTAGAAGCCATTAATTCCCAGAAGCACTTCATCTGGGGGGAGATCTTGTGAGATTTATACCATCCACGTAGCATATCAACTGGTGTTGTCATTGCATGCGTGCTGTTTAGGCAACTATAGTGTTTGAATCAGTGTCAGTAGGTATGGATTACCCACTTTCAAGTCCAGCAAAACAGAACACGAGCTTCTGTATCACAATGAATGCAGAACTGTTTAGTTCTATAACACATGGGCAGCAAGGAAAGGAGAAGATTAGAATTCATTGCCACTCTCTTCCCTAAGCTCAGATATCTATCCATAGTATGAGGAGCTCAATTGCCTTTGCTTCACCTGTGCTATAGCTGAGGATTCCTGCCAAGAGGCCCACCCAAGGTTTGATAACCTTAAGACAGAGATTCTTAACCTTCTACTACTGTAACCCTTTGTTTAATATACCTCCTCATGTTTGGAGACCCCCAACCATAAAATTATTTTCATTGTTACTTGTTCAGTCTAATGTTTTCCCAACTGAGGTATTTTAGCTGCACATGGACTTATTTTTAACTCACTTAATCTCAGCACTCATAGGTAGGATAGAAGTTTCCAGAATTCATCACCAGGCAACATTGTTATCTTTATTTACATAGAAAATTCTAGACTAGCTTAGGCTGAATGAAAGCACCCTCAACCACCATATTATTCACTTTGTTCTGTGAACCAAATATTTCTTTCTGTAACCAAAGTACAGTACTACTTGTGTCACAAACAAATCAGAATTTACCTGAGAGATTTATGAGATACAACTCATGATGTACCAAGTCTGCCAACATCTTTCTTATAATTAGTATTGTCTCCTTTAAGAGATGTGGCTGGAAGCTGCCAAGTTCTTTCTATAATGTTCCCATATTGCCCCATCTAACTGTTCACAGACACACAGCTCATTTCCTAGGCCATGTTCTGTCTTCCAAAATGACAACCAGTTAGAGCAGCTGTAGCTTGTTTTCACTATCATTCTGAACCTTAGATTTGGGGCAGATCCTGCCCCCAAAGGGTTTTAGCATTAGGTCTAAAGAAGCCATATTATCCAGATTTTACAAGATCCACAGACAGTTTCTACACTTGCAAGTACTACTTTCCACACTCACAATTTTTCTATTTTTTCGGAGTGACTGAGGATGCAAAGTTGAAATGTATTGTTTTTAGTGTGGCAGTTTCTAGAGAGTAAATCACATTGTTCATGACAACAGTTTCTATATCTACTTGGATATGTATTACTTACATAAATGTTAAATACTGTTTACTCTAAACACTATATTCCTCAATAATTTTCTACTCAGTACCAAGCAGAAATCTGTTTTATGTTGTAAATCCACATTTTACATGAATCCTTGTCCTGCACGATAGTCTCGCCGGCAAGAACCACACAGGACATTCGGATCCTTCTGCAGTAAAGATTTAATGCGTCTTGAGAGGAGAGCATAAGCTTACCAGAGCGGAGACCCCGAGCCAAGAATCCCGTCCCCTAATAAAGGCTGGCAACCGCCGCCTCGGACGTGTCACCCCATGATTGGCTGCAGCTCATCGGGCCATATGACGCCATGGAATAGGCAGAGATCAAGGAATGGAAAATTACCCAGCGCCTGCGCAATAATCTTGTTTACATTCGGTGCCTGCCGGATGCAGGCGCCATCTTGTAATGGAGAATGCAGGGACGGCTCCCTACAAATCCTAAATACTCTTTTTTAAGCCTAAATATTCTTGTTATTTCTTTCCCCTCCTCCACTCCCACAGTCATCCTCTCACCCCTCCCCCTCTCTCCAGTTTCTCTTTTTCTCTCCACTAGATTTTTCTATCTAAATCAAAGTTTAAATCTAAACCTTAAAAGGCTTCCATCAAAATGCACCTATCACCAAAATTGTATTGTATTTCAGTTACTCTAAAATGAAAATGTATCTGTTTTATATTAATAAGACATTGTTGATTATGTATTAAATTGAGAAGTAAGCTCCCCAGTTGTTAGATAAATCTTTCTGCCAAAAGCCACCTGAGCCCCACCACCACGTGTGTGCTTTATGCCAGCTGCCCACCCAAGTTAGGGCCCAAATGAATACACAGAAACTTGTATTAGGTTCAAAGCTGCTTGGCCAATGACTAGGATTCTCATCTGTTAGCTCAGTCTTAACTATCATAAACCTATATGTTTTATAAGACTTATCTTATCGGATGCTTTATTGGCGTCCCTCCTTGTTGTTGGATCACATCGTGCCACTGGAGCAGGCAAACAGGTAAAAGAGGACCTTCCTGTTTCTCCTTCGCTTAAATATGAGTCTCCTTGCTATGTCACTTCCAGCCTGGATCACCACTTCTCGACTACATCTCCCAGAATTCTCTTTGACTCCTAGTTCCATCTAACTTTCTGTCTCATTGGCCAAGAAGTATTTTATTCAACAATCAATAAGATAAACATACACAGAAGTACTTTCTCTATCATCTCCTCTATTCTGTCTAAATAAAAAGAAGGGTAACTTATCTTTTATAATAACTGAAGAAAACTATAACCTTAACTATCTGTCTTCAACTCTATCAAAGACTACAGAAGGATAATATATAAACTCTAGAATTGACAGAGACATCTGCTACCTGGACAGTCACCCAAAGTTCCTCTGTAACATTGGGGCATCCATCTTCAGCCTATAGGCCATAGTGTATCTAGCACACTTCTCCATTTTAACATGGAACCCTTCAGTACTCTCTTGTTTTGTAAATTTAGTAGTCACTTTCTTGTGGGTCCTGTATGTCCAGCTTATAACAAACTGCAACAAAGAGTCCAGGCAAAAGCAGTATCTTACCCAAATGGCTAATCTAGCCATGATGAAAGCAAACTCCATCTGGATCTGTCTTTATCATCCTAGGAGTGCCGAGTCTAAACTCCAGAAGCCCTGGGACGGTGCGAGCCTATGGAAGCTGCTCTGATGCCTCTCATCGGCCCGACAGGGCAGGCTATGGCGGCAGGATTCCCTCTTTCTCTGGGAAACTTGGGGCATGGAGTCATCCCACTCCTCCTAGTAGTACTACTAGAAAGCATGTGAGCACTGGTTACTCTCTACAATCTTAAAAGTGAGTAATATATAGTTCATCTGAGTTCACACATGTTTGCCCAATTTGGGCAAAATGTGTTCTATCATAATGTATATAGATACCATTAGTGTACATGTCACTATTCAGAATAGGTCAAGTTTTTTTAAATATCTATTCGCTTTGATTATTCTTCTAGCTCATATTGTAGAATCAGCTCCTGCATGAGAAGGAAATAGACTTTTCAGTAGATATGATTACAAAAAACCATAGACATGTCCTGGGCACCATATTAACAGCATTTCTGGTTTCCCATGAAGACTCACAACTCTGAGCAGTACTGACAAACTTCTCTCTGATTATATAAGTAGCTGAATCTAAGCTCATATTTTCTCTGCAAAGAACTCCAGTTGTGTCTTATAAAACACCTCCATTTTCAACAAAGAATTTCACTGGTTTATGATCTTCAAGTAAATTTACTTACACAGACCTTTCAATACCTGAGAGTTCTGTCACCTGTTCCTGGATGTTACCCTTTTTGGGTGGTGATTTCATGATGAGCTGGAAGTCACTGTTTCATGTTCTTCTTGTTCAAAGACACATAAGATAATGAGTGCTTTGTTTTCAGAACCCACTAAATAACGGTGCATTTCTGAGAATGAAATCTAGAATGAGTGACTCTTAACATTTAATTATACTTAAGCATATTAGAAGCCAGGAGTGAAGTCAGTGTACTTCTGCCTACAAACATCAGTCTTACTGTCTTCTCCAACTAATTGAGGGGAACTGTTCTCAGGAGTTTGAGCTACTTAATTTTCATCTACTGCATGATTTCTGTGGAATTTCAAAAATTTATTTTTATAATTAATACACAACTTTGTTTTGAGTCATGTTAGTATAAACATGTTTCTTGGGTATTTTAGAGGCATATTCTATTCAATTTTATTTAGTTGTTGCTCAAACATATTCTCCACTATAGTTACTCTTCATAGGTTTATATTGGTGCTTCTAGAAGTTACAGTCTTTTAAATACTAATCTCAATGTCATGTACAGGATAACTCCCTTTGAGATGTTTGGCCAGAGAGATTCCAAAATAAAAAAGGAAAAAGGCTACTGCCATTGACCTTTGTTATAAACCAAAACTCAGTGGTAAGAATGTATTGTTGAAGATATTATACACTCTGCAAGCACAAAGAAATCAAGTTGGAACTGAACTAAAAAGTCAGGATTGCTGAAACTCACAGTGTGCATACTGTATTCATAGTGACTGATGGGTGCTATGCAGACTTCTTAGGAGAGAAAATATATCAGTGATCACTCTAAGCTGTAATCCATGAGAGCTGCAATACTGATCCTCCTGGTGAATTATGCCCTTTTGTGTAACAGTGCCACAGCTTTAAGGTATAATTTTGGAGTTAGATTGGATGATATGATAAATATATGGTGATGTAATCTACCTGGTCAAAAGTCTTAGGGTTGTGAAGGTTATGGTCCCAGGCAGGGAAATGCTATTGTTATTTCTGTAAATTGACACATTATCAAACTGTCTTCTAATAATTTATGCTTATACGCTCAAACTAAGGTCACTATCAGACCCAGGTAGGGAAGTTCATTTTTTTGCAGTGTTAATGCAAAAAATGTAATTTGGTTACATTTTCCCATCTGGTCAAAGTACTGAGGATAATAATTATTGGGGGTTATGCCCTTAATGGGACATTTATATGATAGCTCTTCTCCTAGACAGGACAGAGTAGACAATGTGGTAGAGTGAATTCAGGAGCCCAAAGATGGGGAGAAATCCAATTAAATACTACCATACATCTATGACATTGCTGTTGCAATCATTAATACAAAGTAGCAATAGATGTAGGCACAGGATTAGAGCATCTAACATTCCATCACAGGTAGAGGGCATGTCCTTGATGCCATATCCTTTCCTACAGAGATATTGACTGCTAAAATTTGCTAGATGAGTTAGCATTTTATTTAATGGGATAGCAATATGGAATAGTACCATGAATTAGAGAGCTAAAAATTAGTTCAAGGGCAGTCTAGGTTACATTTTAATCTCAAGCTAGCTAAATTATACGAAAATAACAAATGAATTAAAGGATCAGGTTAGTACTTGGTTGAAGCCAGACTGATGTCTTTAGCATTGATATTCTTGAGCAGAGTAGAACCATAAGAGGCAAGAAGTGAAGCAAAAGTAGACATCATGGGTAGCTTGGAAGAATGTCAATTTGCACAAACTGAAAAAAAAGTCACATTTGGGGAGTGATACACTTTTTATTAAAGTGAAATTCTCATGAAAAGGAGACCCTTCAGGAAATGCAGAGATGAGTTCTTTTCTTTTGGGGGTGGAAGAAATTATCTGCCTAGAAGTGAGATGTTAATGTCCAAATTGTTCTTTTTGTTTATTTTCTGGAATCTTCACTTTTGAAGATTTTCTCAGACATACAGAATATATTTTTGTCATGCAGACATACTGTTAAGCACAACAAATTATTTAGCAAAGACTCATAACTTACTAAACCCCACCTAACATTCAATATCATGTGAAAATAAGGAGAGTTCTGTAAACATTTCTGGTCTTGAAGCAGAGTAACTCTAAGAAGGAAAATCAGTCTTCAGACCTGGGGATTTGGGTCAGTTGGTTGAATCATCTTTCATGAATTTGATCCTTACTACCACAAAAACTAGTAACTGGAACAATGTATTCTCTAGAGGTAGAGACAGAAAGAGCTGAAGTTCAAAGTCATTTTTGTTGGCTTTATAGTACATAAATTGGGGAGCAGTCTGAGCTCCATGAGGCGTGGTCAAAAAAGACAAAGTAGAGGGGGAAAAGAAGTAGAAAGTGGAAGAGAAGAACAGGAAGAGGAAGAGGAGAGGGAACCTTAAGACAGGAGCAGGAGATGAAAATTAAACTTTGAGAAGACCAATTCTTAGGAGCTGGTGTTTAATATAAAAATTCCCTTAACGTATTTTTCTTTGAAGACATGTCTCTATAGATAAAAGTGACTCAAAGAGGACAATTTATTTTTTCTCTACTGTATATTTCACTGTTTTCTTAAATGAACATAATGGTATTTCATAGATGCCTTCCCAACAAAAAAGTAAATTATTCCAGTTTGGGGGCCAACCATATATTATTGTTACCTTTCTGGCATTGTCTCAACCACCTGTGCACCTTTCCAAGTTTTCATTTCTAGTAACCCTGGCAGTCTTTTTATATGATTAATAAAGTCAGGCAAAGCAAACTCAGTGCTTTAGGGATATAAGAATAGGAGAAAATTAGAGAGGAAAATACATATGGAAAAAATAATACCAGACTGTTATTCTAGTAAATGGTCACATTTGTTTTCAATAGAGTTCTGAATTTAGTGTGCAAGATTGAAATTTGACTTTTCTTCGAAGTCAGTCTCAACACAGCAAAGAATGGAAGAAGTTATTGAAGGATACAATGAATATCCGGAACAAAGCAGCACTCAGATATGAGCAATTTCTAAGACATTACTTAGGTTAATTTGGTTACATTTTTCTCAAGGGTAAAATAAACATAGTAATAATTGCCATGGCCTGGCATAGAATATCTTTAATAAAAAAAAAACACTACTTTTTAAAAACTTCTACCATTACAGGTAATGCCACTGTTATTTTAGTCAAATCTGGTTTCCATTGGAGCCCCAGGCTGTGTGATCAATAACCCCTGAAAACAAAGGTAGGGCCCAGTGTCTGTGACCCTAAAAGAATAAAAATTGTGATGAGAGATTCCAGAGAAACTGCTCTCATGTGACACTTGCTACTTGTTCCTTTTTTTAAGCATTTATTCCTGCTCATGATTGGAGCAATACTCAGCAATCACAAATGAAACGATCCCTTGACATAGCATAAAACCAAGAGGGAAAAGCACTTTCAGTTTTTGTTTTTAAAAATCTCTTTAAAGACGCTTTTATGGCTGCATTTCAAATATGAAGCAACTCAGCTTACAAAACACTGCACATATTTCATGATTCCTCTCTGCGGACCAGGATGCAGAGTCAAGTTTAGCTGCACATATTGGCATCAGAACTTTGGCACATGGCACTTGAATTTCCAGACCTTTAGCTAACCGGTATTTTCATCTAGTTTCTGATGGTAGTTTGGGAAAAGACAATGTCAAGAAATAACCAGCCAGAAGAACTGGGATGTCTGATTGTAGGCATTCTCCTTTCTGTTTTCCCCAGATCCAATCCTCCAGATTCATCTCCATCTCCACAGCAGAACACCCTCCCATGCCAGCCACAGCTGCTGTCTCACCACTGTCTCCTGTGGATCACACATATCTTCCCTTTCTAACCTCATTCAGCCCATTTGTTGTTTTTTTCCCAAACCGGAACTCCAGTGGGTTCTCCCTGCTCACCCACAGGCTACACCTGCAGAAAAACCAGGCAGGCTGCCTTCAGACTTTCTTTTTCTCTTCCCCCATCCACCCCCCAGTTATTCCCAGCCCTGCAGCAGAGCACTCCTAGCAATCATCCGGCTTCCCCTTCTGTTGCCCATGATTCACACAGATCTTCCTCCTAACCTTCCTCCCCTGACTTGTTGCCTTGTCTCAGACCCCCACCCCACCCCAGCAGGCATCCCCTCCTTATACAAGGGCCTCTCCTCCAAGGTGAACACGTTGCCTGAAGGGGGAGCTACACCTGTCCTACTGCTCTGAGAGTCCCCTCCCCAGTCTTATCCCCAGTTTGGTAACCAGAAATCTATTGCAGTCTCCCTTTCCTATCTGACACTATCCCCAACCTTGCAAAAAAAGATCTTCTCCCCAACCTTTATTCCCCAAATCATACCATTATCATACCATTCCAGCCTCCAACACCAACAGACATTCACTGTGAACACACCAGCATAGCAGAACAAGGGAAACAGCTGCCAACTCTAGTAGGCATCTTCCAGACAATCCACAAGGCCACATCTGCCAACAAAACAAGTAGATTTCTCACAGACATTCTCTTCTTTCTGTGTTCTCCCAATTCTGATCCTCCAGTCTCTATCCCAGCTCTCCAGCAGAACACTCTTGACAACCACCCATTCTCCACTCCTGTCTCCTGAGGATCCCATAGATCTTCCCCCTTCTAACCTGCATCCCTCTGCGTGTTTCTTTGTCCCAGACCCCAATCCCAGCAGCCCCCCCACACCGGCAAAACCAAGGGTTTCTCCTTCCAGGGAAACACATAGGCTGAAAGTTGACACACACTCATCCTGCTGCTCCTGAGAATCAACCCCAACCCAGTTCCATCCATAGCAGGAAATCTGCTGTGATCTTCACTTCCTCTCTGATTTCCATCCCTAAAGGATCACAAAGACCTTCTTCTCCAACATCCCTCCATCTCCCATCACAGCATCCCAGTATTCAACACTATCAGACATTTCCTGTGAGCACACCAATTGTGCAGCCCAGGAAAACAACAACACACGGCATCACACTCTGAAAATCCAGGAAAGAAACAGAAACTAAGGAACAAAGCTCCCACCCAACAAAGACAACTATAATCTTTCCAACTCAGATGCTTAGATGCCAGAGTGTAAACAAAATCAATAACAACCAGTGCTGTGTGTTTGTACTGGAGCCCAGCTACCATACCTCAGAAGGTCCTACCTATTCCAATGTAGCTGAAACACAAGAAAAAGACCTTAAAACCAACTATATGAAGATGATAGGGGATTTTAAAGAGGAAATGAACAAATCAATAAATAATTCCTTTAAAAAAAGTCCAAGAAAACACAAACCAAAAAATTGAAGGAATGGAATAAAACTCTCCCAGATCTGAAAATAGAAATAGAATTGTTGTGCCCAATGTCTGCACCCTCAAACCGCCAAGAGATAAGACCCCATGCAAAAGCAAGGAGTATTTTTCTTTATTAGAATATATTTTATTAGTTAAATTAGGAACAAGCCTGTTTCACATGTCAATCCCTTCTCCTTCTCCCTCTCCCTCCCCTTACCTCACCTCTCCTACCCCACCCTGACCTACCCCCCCATCCATCCTGCACTCCCCAGGCAGGGTAGGGTCCTCAACAGGGGCTCCTCAAAGTCCACTACCTCATCCTGGGCTGGGCCTAGGCCCTTCCCCATGTGTCCAGGGCCAGAGTGTATCCCTTCACGTGGGATGGACTCTCAAAGTCCCTTCTTACACCAGGGAAAAATGCTAATCCACTACCAGGGGCCTCCTAGAGCGTAGAGGCCTCCTCATTGACATCCATGGTCAGGGGTCTAGATCAGTCCTCTACTGGCCTCCCAGACAGCATCTGGGTTCGATGCATCCCCCCTTGTTCAGGCCAACTGTTTCTGTGGGTTTCTCCAACCTGGTACTGACCCCTTCGATCTTCCTTCCTCCCTCTCAGCAACTAAGTTCCAGAGTTCAGTGTGTATCTGTGGATGTCTGCCTCTGCTTCCATCAGCCACTGGATGAGGGCTCTAGGATAGCATAAAAAGTAGTCATCAATCTCATTTTAGGGGAAGAGCGTTTAGGTTATCCTCTCCACCATTGCCTGGATTGTCAGTTCATGTCATGCAAGGAGTCTTTTTAATTATGAGTTAACTCTGGTCCTCCGACAATCTGACACAGCGGTGGAGTAGGAGGGACCCAGAGGTGCAGTGTAGCAGGGCATATAATGGGGGTAGAGCAAGGGGGTGTCTGCGGGTCTGCTAGTTGCATAGTAACGGTCTCACAATTGGTACACCTCTGGGCTGGGAACCTACCCTGAGTTGACTTGTCAGCTGCAGCTGCCTCATACCAAGTTGATGCAGAAGCAAGCCTCTTCCCCTTTGTATCAAGGTTGAACAAGGTAACCCACCATAGGGAATGGGTTCCAAAAAGCCAGTTCATGCACCCAAGATAAGTCCTGGTCCCACTGCCACCCCCTCAACAGATCAAACCTCATAACTGTAACACACATTTAGAGGGCCTAGTTTGGTACCATGCAGTTTCCACAGCTGTGATTCCAAAGTCCTTGAGCTCCTACTAACTCAGATCAGCTGTCTTTGTGGTTTTCCCCATCATGATCTTGATCCACCTTGCTTATTTAATCCCTCTTCTCTATTCAACTAAACTCTAGGTGCTCAGCCCAGTGCTTGCCTGTGGGTCACTGCATCTGCTTCCATCATTTACTAGATGTAGGGTCTATTATAGCAATTATGGTAGTCACTAATCTGATTATAAGGGAAGGACAGTTCAGGCATCCTCTCCACTATTGCTAGGAGTCTTATCTGGAGTCATTCTTGTGGATTCCTGAGAATTTCTCTACCACAAGGTTGCTTCCTAATCCCATAAAGGCTCCCTTTACCGAGATATATGCCCCTCTTCCAATTGGTCACCTTTACACTCATATTCCCATTCCCGGCACTCTCCTCAACCCCCTCCCTGATTATCCAGGAAATCTTAGCTATTTTCTCTTCCTGGGGCTCTCTGCATGTGTCTTTCTCAGGGTCCTCCTTTTTACCTAGATTCTCTGTAGTTGTGGATTGTAAGGTGGTAATTCTTTTCTTTACATTTAATGTCCAATTATGAGTGCGTACTTACCATGTTCGGCTTTTGGGGTCTGGATTACTTCACTCAGGATGGTTCATGACAAAATACCTGGAGAGATTAGGGATGAAAATGATGTACCCAAACATAATAATGCCAATTTTCAGCAAGCCTATAGCCAAGATCAAATTAAATGGAGAAAAATTCAAAGCAATTTCACTAAAATCAGAAACAACAAAAACTTGTCTACTCTTTCCATATCTATTCAATATACTAAAAAGTTTTAGCTAGAGAAATAAGACAACTGAAGAATATCATGTGGATACAAATTGGAAAGGTGTAATTCAATGTATTGTTGTTTGCAGAAGATATAATAACATGCATAAGTGATCTTAAGAATTCTACCAGCTGATAAATTCTCTCAGCAAAGTAACTGGATGCAAGATTAACTGAAAGAAAAATCAGTATCCATTTATATACAAATTGACTAAAGGAGAATTTAGGGAAACAACACCCTTAGACATAGACTGAAATGATGGGAGGTGGTGGCACACACCTTTAATCCTAGCAATTGGGAGGCATAGGCAGGAAGATCTTTGTGAATTCAAGGCCAGCCTGTACTTCAAAGTGAGTTCCAGGACAGCTAGAACAGAGAAACCTTATCTCGAAAAAACAAAGAAAGAAAGAAAGGGAAGAAAGAAAGAAAATAAAGAAGAAGTAACCTCAAATAATATAAAATTACTTTGGGTAACTCTATGCAAGCAATAAAAGACTTATAGACTTGTATAATAAAAATTTCAGATCTTTGAAGAAAGAAAATGGTCAAAATATCAGAAAATAGAAAGATCCTCCATGCTTATGGTTGGTAAGATTAACATTGTAAAAACAGTCATTCTACCAAAAGCAACTTGCAGAGTCAATGAAATTCCCATCAAGATTCTAACACAGTTCTTTATAGACTTTGAGGGGACAATTCTTGTCTACATAAGAAAAAAAATCCTGATAGCTAAAACAATCCTGAACAATAAAATATCTGATGGCTTTATCACCATTTTTGATTTCAAGTGGTATTACAGCAAGAAATTGGCATAAAAGTACACATTGATCAATGGAATTATGTAGAAGGCACAGACATAAATCCACATACATGTATACACCAGATATTTGATAAAGAAGCCAGAAATACACATTGGACAAAGGCAGCATCTACAACAAAGTGTGCTGGTCAAACAATATCTGAACGCAATGAGATCCTTATCTATCTCCCGAAAAAAAGCTCAAGTCCAAGTGAATAAATATCTCAACATAAAGCCAGACACAGTGCACAGGAGATGCTGGTTCACCAATCCTGTAGATACTCTAATCAACAATTAATAAATGGTACTTCATAAAAATTGAATGTTTCTGTTAGGCAAAAGACACTATCATTCTGACAAAATGACAGCCTACACAATGGAAAAAGACTTTCATCAACTCCAAATGTGTCAGAATGTTAGTTTCCAAAATGTATAAAAATCTCAAAACCTATGTGTCAGCAAACCAAATAATCCAATTTAAAATGGGGCACAGACCTACAAAAGAGCATTTTAAATAGAGGAAACTCACATTTCAACATACTTATCAATTAGGGAACTGCAAATCAAAACTACTTTGATATTCCATCTTACAACTACCACCCAACATTTCTGCTTATTTGCATCTTCAAGAATGACTTGCATCAGTAAATATAATCCAGTCTACCTGCATAAAATTTAGTTTTTTCTTTTTAGCTTTTTAAAATTGTAAACATTTTAAAAATATTTGAGATTATAATGTAAATACATTTCTCTCTTTCTTTTCCTCCCTCCAAACTCTCCCATGTTCTCTTCTCTACTCTCCTTAACATTTAAAGCTTTTTTTTCAATAATTGTATTGATCACACTGTGACTCATTTTCTTATAAATTGTGTTTCACTGTCATTGTACCCCTCCATTTACTCATTCAAACAGGTGAGCATGCTAATAGTATTTACCTATTAATGCTATTGTGGAAAATGATTTGCTGAACATTAGCATATAGTACAATGTTTGCATTTGATAAATGTAAGCTATTCACATCACTATATATAGCCTTATGGTCATCCTAAGTATTGTCCACACAATTTTCTGCTTTATTAAAATAAATTTTAATATCTATAATACATGGGAGGTTAATGTTCTGGCAGAGTTAACCTTTATTATCTTCAGAATACTGCCTCTAAAAATAAAGCCGAGTGATATGAAAGCTGTTGCTGTGCTGATCTGTCCTGTGTTACCAACAACATGATTTTATAAATGGATCTTATTTCTTATGCCTTCTGCATTCCTGAGTGCTAGTTAAAAACAAAACAAACAACAAAAAAAAAACATGTCATGCCAAAGATGAATGCTGTCAGATACAGAAGGGAATAAAAAAAATGCCACAAGTCTGAGGAGTCTATGTTGGACAATTTCCATAATAATCATCAAATATTTCCCCACTTAAAATAGCAGGCATACATCCTGCCAACCTTTTCTATAGTAGTTAGTGCCAAATATATGTATTGGTTTTGTAATGTAAAATGTGGAAACTTGGAAACCAAGTACCCTGAGCCAACTCTGGGAAGATTACATGTGATGTTCATGGAGACTGGTTAACACTAATATGACAAAGTAATATACTTCTTCCTTCAGGATTAACTTTGACCAGGTATGGCCTACTGTGGAAGAAGCAGAGAAGTTACATATTGAGAATCACCCACAAGTTCATGCCTTCAGGACTAATGCTTAAAGAAAATTATCTATATTGATAATTTAAATAATGTTGCCTTGTTTGGACATTAAAGTATTTTATGAACAGGTAAATAAGAAAAATACAATGGATAAAAATAAGAGTTACACAAATATATATATATATATATATATATATATATGTATATATACATATATATATATATTTACCATGTTTTACATAAAAGCATAAACATAGACTTTGAACTTCAGTAGTTGTTATCTTAATCAAGACTGAGGTTGCTATAAAACAGCCTTTGAACAGTGTAAATATGTATTGCTCTCATTGGTAATAAAAAGCTGATTGTCCAATAGCTAGGCAGGATATTTGGGACAGACAGGATGCTGGGAAGAACAAGGGAAGAGTCAGCAGACTCATCACCCAGACATGGAGAGGAAATGGGAGGTGCAAGATGACAGAGATGTAGATTAATAATCATGGGTTCATTCAAGTTGTAAGAGGTAGCTTGTGATAAGCCTGAGATATAGGCTGAGCATTTATAATTAATAGTAAGTCTCTACATTTCTTTGAAAGCTGCTGCCAGGATAGGAAAATTCTACAAATATGAGGTAAAATGTCATTGAGATTTTATCCAGTATCTTGCTCTTCAATTAAATTTTGCTCTTACCCAATGACTGCTCTTAAGTTGTTCATTAACTTTGTGAAAAAGTATCATCATAACCCAAGTGATTATCCTGGAGGAACGGAACTGGCCTGGCATATGATCTTCTATGTACAGGATTACTGTTACAATCTGAGTAACTGATTTATTAGAAGTACATTTATTGGTACATCTCCTTTCTTTTGAGTCAGTGTAACATTGCAATTTAATTTGCATTATATTCCCTTACATATTTAGAATAAAGGTGTTGACTTTCCTGGGGAAAAGAATCTTACTTTTGCCCATAAAGCAAGTTCCCACCAGTGATGTCACAGGCCTTTAACTCCAGCACTCAGGTGGCAGATGCCTGAGTTAAAGACCAGCTTTTATAAGACAGCCAGAGCTACACAGAGAAAACCTATCTCAACCCCTCATGCCAAACAAAACAAAATAAAAAAAAATAATCAAATAAGCACAAAATGAAACACAACAAAAAACCCTTTATAAGCAAACTCATATTCTTTATTACATATATTTTAATGGTATAATTTAGCTGTTGTAACTTAAGAACATCCATGCAATTAATGTTTGCTCCTTCTAGAGATACCTTTACAGAAATTAATGCCTGACAGTTGATTGAAGGAAGACCCATCAGATGAATTACAGTGATGAAGAACTATGAAGACTTTAAATTGTCCATTCCATTGGCATCTACAATTAAGGTGACAGAAATCTTGTTCATAATTTTATCTATATCTAGTTATACAAATTGTACTCCACAGGCTTCATCCTATTTGCCATGGATTTTGCTAGAGCAAGTGAAATAAAAAAAATTCCCTTCTGTTCAAATAGTTAAAACAAACAAACAATGGCATTCCATGATCCAAGAAAATTATAAGACACCCAGGATTCATTTTCTGTAGATAAAAATTTTGTACAAGACATTAACACTCATAGCCTTATGAATTGTCTGTCACTTGTCCTGTGTCCCAAACACAAAACTGAGCAGAGCAGTTGTCACAGAGAATATATTATTCGCACATCTTAAATATTTACCATCTGAAACTACATTAAAAAAAAAGTTACGTATAGGCCACTAAAACTGTGTTAAAATTAGACCAGGTCTTTGAATTGTGACATGCTAGACATACAAATTCTTTGAGTTGCTTATCTTAATAGAGGCAAAATTTTGGGGAGACTCCGTAAAACATTTATAGTAAAATGATAATAGAAAATTATAAAACAAATGATGACATTTCATTTGATTTATATGTCCATTTGAGACAGTTAATCTAATCAATGATAATTTTGTCAAGAATTTCCACAAAATAATATTTAATTAAATTTCCTGTTTGTATGGACAGCACAAAAATGTGAAAGAGAAAAATCTTTTATTTTACCAGATTTAAATCAGTAATTCATCTCAGCAAAATTATTGCTATCCTGATCTTTACAAAGAATCTGAAATTTATGGAGTGAAATGTATATAAAGGTTAGCTTCACCTTTTCACTTCAGACATGATGACAGATATATGTGTTCCTGTAGTCAGTGTGGGGGGCATTTTTAATATATGCCATAAATGTCCATGAAGAAGAGTACCAAAGGGCCTTACTTGTCCCTGATGCCTCTATAATTTCTCAGATTAGTAAAACTGTCAGTTTTCAAGTGACCAGTTTAGAAATAAATCACTGGAAGAAGGGAATTTTGCATACGGCTGAGGGCATGTATGTGTGTCTTTAAGAGGGTAAAGAACTCTGTGTGCAGACAATTGAAGGAAGTTCCTGAAAGCCTGGATGTAGATGCCCAGGGGCCTGCTAGCATGAGCAGACAGACATCCTGGCCTTCCTGGCACAGTCATGGCCTTTCCTATGACATCCCAATTTACAGAATGATGGTACATTTGTCAAAGTGCCAATTTTCCAGCCCAAGACTGTTTGTCTGTTCTGGACAAAGGGAAGCACCTGGGGCATGCCAGTTTTAATAGCTTGGCTGGCTCCTGAGGTGGCTTGTGACCAAAGATGATGTGGATGACACTGCCTTTTACTTAAGGCCTTGTGATAGAAGTGGTGGTGATGGTCACAAAGTGAGAAAAAGATAGGGTGTGAAAACAAAAGGAAAAAAGAGAGAGAAAAGATTTCCTGAGTAACCATAAAAGAGGTCAAAATTTGAGGGCTAAGAACTCATCAGTGGGTCAGAAGTGACCCCTAGTGGGTTCTGCAGCTTTTTCCTGCTTAGCTAAATTGGTCTCTCGAGGGGTGTGTGTGTGTAGGGGTGTGTGTCACTGCTGAGGACAAAAAAAGAAAAAAAAATACAAATGAAGAAATCTAAATACAAAAATCAAAGACATTAAAAGACAAAGGAAATACAGAGAGATAGAAAGTAAGCAAAGGGCTTAAAAGGGAAATGGTAAGAGAGTGTGAGTCTTCTGGGAATTTGTTTGCTTCAAAGAAGCTGGCATTGACAAAGTAACTGATAACAATAAGATTTTAACTTTTAGCTCTTTCCCCAAGGGCCTGCTTTTGGGCTTACTGAAATCCATAGACCTCTGCAAAGCCTTTAGGATTTCGTGTGGTCAAGAGGTGTCAATTTTTCTAACCCAATTTTAATTTGTCTCCTTGCTTTTCAGCAACACAACACTGACTGCTTTTGTGTTCCTTTTCTGATCCTTCTTGTTGCTCTTGGATCTTTCTGGTCTCTGCTACCTCAGTTTTCAGTAACACCATAACTTCTTTTGTTTTTATTTAGTCTTAATTTCAGTAACACCAAATCAGAGAGTCTTTCTCCATCCTGCCAAATGTCCCTTACACATTATAAACCCTGAACCCATTTGCCTTATGTACTCTATATGTCTAATAGTCTCATGTAAATTGAAATATTTATGCTTAAATTATAGACAGTCTTCTGTTAACAGGTGCAGTGCTACACATGGTTGGTGGGATAGTTCTCAAATTGATGTTTCCAGTATAGACCACATTATAGAACAGGTATTAACAGATCTGGTTATGAGTGGTATTATCTTACCACCAAGTTTTTCTGTCTTAGACTAAATCAGGGAGGTGAACTCTGTGTGCTATATGAGTTGAAGGGTATTAAGCATCAGGCTTGCCATTCACACTGAAACTGCCCAGCTACAACTAGAAAAGTTATTTTTTATAAACTATAGAGAAATTAAAATTACATAATATTATTGTAATAGTTTTCTGTGCCTGTCATGAGACAGCATCTTATGGTGTGTGGCGCTTATAACAACAAACCTTTGCTGTCTCATAATATTCCAGTCCAGAAATATGAAATGAGCAGATTGGTGACATTAATCTCTTCTGAGATCTATCAGAAAGGATCTGATCCATACTCTCCCATAGGTTCCATTTGTCTACTGGTGATTGAGGGCACTCCTTGAAATGCATTTACTGAAACATCATCCAGTCTCTGCCTCAGGTCACATGTACGTACACCTATCTCCATACATCAAGTTAAAACCTAGGCTAGCCAGCTCATCTTAACATGAAAATTATTATATTTGGAATCCGTAATCCCAAAACAGGTTACATTCTGAGATACTGGGCAGTTGTGGTTTCAGAATGAGTTCTAGGAAGACATACGTAGCACTACTGGTATGTAACAGTATAGACTGGATTCAGACACTCCACTGGATATATTATGGAAGAAAGACATCTAATGCAAAGTAGCATTTATTAGGAAAGTTTCTGTTCTGAGCATCTCCAACTCCTTAAAAAGACCAATGAGTTAAATTCCAACAACTCTCTTCTACACTACCATAGTATCACATGACTTTACTGAAGACCTAGTTCTCTACCAGACCCTGTGTTTAGGAAGGAGAATTGAATAATCAAATAATCAATAATCAACAACCAATAATCAAAAAATAATTCCTAATAAAATAGAATGCAGATATTGCTGCACTCTTGGCATCCAGCTAAGTGTAGAAATTCTACTGACATTTTTGAGATTCTAATAATACTATGGTGTTTTCAATAGGATACTAGCTGTTGGATGGGATTCAGAAGGTAACTTGGGCACTAATGCAAGGTGAAATCCAGAGTAATAAATCAACCTATGACTTTAGGAAATTGTTTGGAGGCACTGAGAAATATGTTTGTGGTTATCTCCAAAAGAACCAAGTATGAAGTTGCCAGTGCTCTTCATGGTTTATCTCACAACAGAGTAACTTGAAAGAACCTTGTTTTGAACACTATGTTGAGTACATTTGTATGCCATGTCTGAGGCTCCCAGTGCACACACTTCCAAGGCTGATGCCCTTTGGGTTGTATGATTTGCCTTTTCCTCTTACTTCTGTTTACTGAAAGCCTTTGCATCTCTTAATGTACATTTATATCTAAAAATCTACTCCTTCCCTTCATTTCAAGCAGCAGAATGTAATCCACCAGAGACACTGTTTGCTAAAATGTAACCTGCATCATACACTTGTTTTATCTGGCCTCCTGCATGGTGAAAGCCCATGAGGCACAGAGCTATTTGTCTTTGTAGTGTCTTTGGAGATTTAAATAAGCTCTCCCAGGGTCACAAAGCAACAAAGAATATGCCTCTGGGTTATTTGTAGATATGGTTCAAACTGCTAAGATGCAAGCAAGTTTGCTGTCCTTACAGAAGATAACCTGCATAGGCCTGTATGGCATTTTATAACTAGAGAGAGGGCCAGAGTTTGGTATGTATGAAAAATTGTTCACCCTAAGCTCCTCAAATCCACAGAGGTAAACACATGAATGAAGCAAAGCACTGGCCTGAGGCAAGAAATCTTAATGCTGCTACTCACTGCTTTGGCACATGAGACCATTCATTTAATACGTCCACATGCTAATGCTCTATCCATGAATTGGAGGCTCTGAAGCAGACTGGGTTTTCCAAATTTCTCTGTACTGGCAAAATCATATAGTTTTCTAATGTCTGTCCAACGAGTATCAAAACTGGAAATGTACATTTTTTACTGAGTTATAAATATTCATTGTTTGTTAAGCCTTACATCATATATTACAGTTTTATTTTAATAAAGACAAATAGGTAGGAGTCCAGATATTATTAAGAAAAAAATTATGAAGAAGGGGGTTATTACATTATGGAATTCAAACATCCTGGCCAAATAACTCCTTGTGCCAGTTTATATCACTGAGCATCCTTCTTGAAACAGTACAATTTCACGTGTTACCTTGACATCATGAAGCTAGATGAAGATTTCTAAAAGTGGAAGATCTCTATGGCATTTCTCCCCTGGAGCTCAATGTTCTGGTTATTTGCCTGCTTTTGGTTAGGTTTATTATCAGTCATGCCACCATGGATAGTTTCTAATCCCATTATCCTAGAATATGATACTATTTGAGGATCTGATGCAGATCGCCCATTATTCAGAACTAGCATTATATTTCAAGAATAGAAGTCCCACTTTGAGTTACAGTAAAAATTTCCAATCACACATTGTCCAAGTTAATGTCTAAGTTCAGAATCAAACATTTAACATGTAATTCCTGGCAGTCTTCAAATGAAACTATCCGAATTTACATGCTATATTATTACTCAAGATAAAAAGTGATAGTAAGACTCCTGGCTGCACTAGTACAAGAAACAGAAGAGCCTTGTTGTTTGTTCTTGTGGAGTTCATAATCTACAGATATGTGTAGGTGATTCATGTGGGAAACCAACAAAAAATGAAAGTAAGGATAAGGAAATTCATAGG